GCAAATGTGCAGATGCCTCTTTGTTTATGCACACACGCCCCATCACACACACACACACACACACACACACACACACACACACACACACACACACACACACACACGCGCACACACACTCACACACACACTAACAGAAACAGCGAACCGCCGATGAACCCAAGCCTTCTCAGTCTCATTTGCACAGTTAAAACTGGGTTAAAATGTATCCATGTCTCTTGGTCCCTGTTGGTTTAGCTCTCTGTGATGTGCAACCACCAGTCTACAGCATGTTATTGCCTTAGAAAGGTTGCCGTCTACCAAACGAGTCCAGGTTTTAGCACTCAAGAAGTCCGTGTTGGTAAAGCAGTGGTCACTGAGGTCCAGTATTAGTTGAAAGGACACCTAGTGCTGGATGAGGTGGTGATGAGCGTTGGCCAGCCTGCTGCACCTCCTCCCTCACTTGCTCGCTCTCTGGTGGTGGTGGTGATGAAGGGGTGGGGTGGGGTGAGGGGGACTCTTAAGGCTCCTGTGGGGGCTTGTGTCTCATTCTGCCCTCCCAAACTCATGGTGGGTGATTTTTAAGACACAGCGTGTGTTTATGCATTTATCACTTTCGCCCTTCCTTCAGTACGTCTCTGAATCAGAGTCGTTGAGCTCCTCGTCTTTGTAGAAGCCGTCGTGGTGGCTGATGTTGTTGAAGCTGCAGTATGAGCTGTGCTCGCCACGCAGCACGGGCAGGCTGTCGAAGGTGACGCTCTTAGAGGGGCTGGTAGTGTAATGGTTAATGGCACTGAATGGGAGGGTTGGTGCCGGGGTGCAGGGAGACACAGGCATCATGGTGGCCAGGATGAGGGCTAGGCAGTCTGCCACATCTTTGTTGGGGGCACAAGCCAAGGCAGGCGTGTAACCTGAGGAAATAACAACACAACAATATTTTATGCTCCATAAAATTAATGCAAAGAAAACATTTGCAGTCAGCTTCTAATCCTGCTGTGCCCAAGGATGCACACCAAAACCCAGAAGTAAGACAAAAATAATAATAATTAAGAAAAAACTACAGTGAATTTACCATTTTCATCAACTGCAAGGACACTGGCTCCCTTTGCAAGCAGCTCTTGCACTACCACAGTCAGGCCATTTCTTGCAGCCACGTGTAGAGGCCTTAAAAGACAAGATAAATCTTTGAAATCGGTGACAAGCTAGTCAACACTTACTAATTTGTTTTGTACATTTTGACATTAAGAATTCAGTTATTAACAATAATGCACTAACAAGCGAGGTACTAATATGATATGAGTGATACGTACGTCTGTAAGGCGGCATTAGTGGCATTTATGAGGTTTCTGTCTGTAATCTTCTCCAATATCAACAAGGCACTGGTTTCATGTCCCTATGGATGGGTATAAAAAGAGCCACACAGAGTGGTAAATGCTCATCCTTTCTCATATTTAAACACTTCGGCAAGACACTGTGCATACTAAGAGCACAGTGCCACCATATGGTACTACACACCTTACTGCAGGCCAGGTGTAGTGCAGTGTTCTTTGCAGCATCTTGTAGAGTGAGATCTGCTTTTGCACTGCTCACCAGCACCTCTAATGGTGACATGATCAAACACAGGAAAAACAAAATGAAGTTAATTCAATAAAGCACAGTTTATTAATTCAATCCTCCACTTGATTATTATGTCCCGCTGTGATATTTGCCAGGCTAATAGTTAAAGCCTTCGTACCGACAGCGTTGGTCTGGCCGTTCTCAGCAGCCATCATGAGCGGTGTCTTCCCCACGGCATCGACACTGTTGACCTGAGCGTTGTGGCTCAGCAGCAGCTGGAGACACTCCACGTGGTCAGTGAAGGCTGCGGCGTGGAGCGGGGTCCTGCACGTGCAACATCAAAGCAAAGCTCAGTATTTATTCAGTGATATGACCCTTCACTTCCTTACGCTCGTTCCCAGAATCAGGTGCTTTACAATTCTATTCAGGCTTGAATTAATATTTTTCTTGTAACATCATACATGCCTGTTTTTACTGTCTTTGGAATTCACAATTGCAGGGCCCAGTGTGTCTATCAGCATCTCAGCAGCACCTTCGTTGTCATGGATCCTAAGGAATAAAAAACAGCACTATTTAATCTGGTAGCTGCTCCGTCCTTACACAAATTGATCGAGAGAAAGCAGCTCTAGGTCTTACACAGCACAGTGGAGGGGGCTGAAAGAATTGCCATCAGCCTTGTGGAAAACCTCTTGCTCCAGCAAAACCTCCACACACGTATCGTGACCTGCAAGAATGAAAACATTAGCTAGTTACAGCATTAACATAGCAATAATGACCAGGATGTGTCAAAACTAGCCTAAGGGTGTGCATAAGAGACCTGTGCCAACGAGGAAGACTGTATTAGTCCCCCTATGAAATGCAAAGTTCGGGTCAAAAGCTTCCCAAGTGCCATTTTTAACAGAAAAAGAGAAATTTCAACATAGCATTTCTTAACATACTAGTTTTCTTTAGAAAGCATAAAGGATTTCTATTTGTGCTGCATAATTATTTCACTTTTTTTGTTTTAACTGAGCCATAGCACGAATCACTGCCGTGGAATGATGTCCTTTAATTTACAAGCTTTGAGCAGCTTTGAGCACAGTACAAAAAAAAACTTCAGCAAGAGTTTGAGTTTGAGAAAGCATAATACCAAAAACAAAACAAATCAGTTTAGACTTGAGGAAAAGAATTGTTGATGCTCACAAAGCAGAGGAAGGATATACAAAGTTATCACATCATTTCCAAGTACTGAGAACTGGAGTGAGAAGCATCAATAAGAAATTCAAAGAGAGCCACACAGGACAGAAAAAGTCTGGCAGAGGTAGGAAGCAAAAGATTTCAAAATCTCTGGAAAGGAAACTAGTGAGAGATGTGTCTAAAGACCCCTTAGCAACTGCCAAAACATGAGTGAATGTTTTAGCTAAGCTGGGAATTATACGCTCAGAAGAGAATCACTAGAACCATGCAAAGGAATGGACTTTGAGATTGCACACCAAGAAAAGCCAGACTGAAGTATGCTAAGGACAACTTGGAGAAAGAGTATGCATACTGGAAGTGTGTCCTTTGGTCAGATGAGACTAAATCAGAGCTCTCGGTCCACAGAGACACTGTTTGTGTTCGGGGAAAGAAGCATCACGGAGGCTAATAATTTTAACCGTCTTAGTTTTTGTGAAATCATTTAATCTCTGTGTGCAAAGTAAAATAATGTAGGCATCCAAAAAAAACAACTTGGATGCTTGAAAAAACTATAAAAGAAAATTTCCTTTCTTTGTTTAACAG